CGGCGGGACGCGGGGCCTATCCGGGGTGGCCACGCCTCCTTGTAGCACCCGGGCCGCGGCCGCCCCGTCCAGTCCGCGGAGCCCCGCCCCGGCTAGCTCCGCCCCCCCCATTTGGGCTCGGGCTTCACCCATTCACCCCACCTCCAGAGTCCTCCAGGTCCCGCCCTGGCCGCACCCCCGCTCCGGGCTCCTCCGGCTCAGCAGGGCGTCGGCCGCGTGCGGGAGGCTAGGGCTGGTGTCTGTCCTTCCAGCTCCCGCGTGGGTCTTTTTGTTGATGGCATTGAAGGTTGGACGGGCCGCCAGGCAAACGGGGCCCTAGTGCCTGAAGGGCTCAGGGTCCACTGTGCAGACTGGGCGACCGGCTAGTGCTTACAACAGATTGCCCTAGGAGCTTTTCCCCTCCTTTTTCCTTGCTCTGCAGGGGGCAGGACCGGCAGGACTGACTGGGATGGTGGTGAAAGAGTCCTTGTCCCCCAGCGAGGGCTGCCCAGGATCGGTATTGATACATACTCCCTTGCTTTATAAACCCAGCAAATTGCTTGACGGGGTGAAGCCTGGCCTGGGTGGGTGGCCCCTAGTCACCATCCCCAAAAGTGCTTGAACCAGGAATGACCAAGGCTCAGACTTTGGGGCATATAGGCCCAAGCATCTGGGCTCACTGGGTACTGAAATTTTGGCCGTGCCCAAACCTGCAGTCATTAGCAGATCCCAGTTGCTCAGGCCCCCTGAATTGGCAGATGGCCTAGATCTGAGGCTTGTTAGGGCCAGTTTGCACTCATTTAGAGGTTAGGACTGGATTCTGTGCGGGCCTCCTCAGGTCTAAGACACCAAGGTTAAGCAGGCATTTGTACATCTATGTGGCAGGGTCAAGCATGGTGGGGGAGGGGGCTAGAAGGGGGGACACATCTGTGACCAGAGCATTCTTAGGCTTCAGGTCTGAGACCTGAACCACACATGTTAGAGCAGACCTCAGTCATGATGGGGGTCCAGTAGGCCTATATGTCTCCAGCCTGCTCAGAACCCTCCACTGTAGACAGGTGGAAGCAAGATGGTTTTCCCTCCCCTGGACCCTCTGGGCTGATGGTCTCTAGCATAGCACCAGGAGGTCACCACATCCTGGCCTCCCCCACAGGGTGGATGGGGGAGGCAGTGTCCTCAAAGGCTGAGCTCTTCACTTCATTGCTATCAGGTACAGATGAGGTGGGAAGCCACAGGGGTGAGGAGGTTGGAGGCAGAAAGTGGATGCTGTCCTATAGGCTTGTGTGACCCTTGACCTCCCAGGCCTCAGTATCCCCAGCTGTACTAGGACAAGATGTCCAGGTCCTGGGGTGCCTGCAAGCTCCCTGGGAAGCTCTATTCCTCTCTCTCCCTACCCCTTCCCCCACAGCCCAGTTTGGTAGCCTGCCAGGAACAGTGCTATTGTTTGACTGGAAAAGCTGCTTCCTCAGCAGAGGTGGGGGGGCCTTTCCCAGGGACACCCTGTCCTCATCCTTGCCAATCATCAGGTTATGACCATTAGTGTCTGCCTGGGCCCTCAGTGGCAGAAACAGGTCACCTGGCACCCTGAAGAAGTAGCTGAGGGGCTCCAGGTACAAATCTGGATTAACTTCATCTTTCACACTTAGTCCTCTTGTTTCCTCATCTGTAAAATGGGGGTAACAGTAAAGCCTACCTGGTCAGGTACATGACACAAGTCCGGCCTAGTATATGCTAAGTGCTCAGTAAATGGGAGCAACATCTACTTTTACCAGAGACCCAGCCTTCCCCCCCGCCCCTCTGCCTCTGATGGAGGCCAGGCTGAGCATGTAAGGGTGTTCATGGTGCTCCCACCTGGCACCAGCACCCACCCGGTATGAGCACTTAGCTCATAAGGGATCCAAAGTGGCATCCAGGTCAGGCCTTGGAGAAGGGAGACCCTGCAACGAGCTCCTTAAGAAGCCCTTGCCCTCAGGGATGGCAAGGCCTGGGATGAAGGCCTGAGGAGTAGGCCTTGCTTCGCCCCCCAAACTGGGCTCCTGTCCCAGTGTTGCCTATCTGTGGCAGATGGATATGGAGCTAAGGGGTGGGGTGAGGAAAAATGGGGGCCAGGAAGAGGGGCTGGCCCTGGACTTGGCTTCCCTGCTGACAAAGGTACTCCTCAGAGAACCTCTTATACTAGGCTGAGGCCAGGATGGTGAGCTCTGTAGGGCATGGAGAAGAGACACTGAACGCCAGGGATGGCACCTCTTCCCAGCAGTTCTAGTTTCTAGAAACAGACCAGTTCTCTATACAAGCCTGTTTATTTCTGTACAAAACAATGTTTCTATTTTACACAAAGAGCACCCCACCCTTCACCCCACCCTCTCCTCTCATGTTAGTGCCCTGGTCCTGGGAAACAACCCCCCAGGAGGAGGCGACTAACTGAGGTGCAGCCCATTGGCCTGCACTTCTGCCTGCCCTCTTTGGGCCAGCCTGAGCTCCACTATGGAGAGAAAATAAATAAGGAGGCTCAGACAGAATCTGTGCTGGGCCAGCCAGAGTCTCTGCCACCCAGTGGCCAGGAGGCTGGGCCCTGGGGCGGGGGGGGGGGGAAGTCCTGGAGTGTCAGTCCATGAACTGTGTAGGTGTGTGGAGACCCCACCCCAGAGTCCCGAGCAGCCGGGGTTACAAGTAGGTGTCTTCACTCTCCTGGGACGTCAGGCTCTCCTGTGAGTGGTGGTGGGCTGCGTGGTGGGGAGTTGAGTCTTGGGGAGCTGCTGAGTCCTGACGGACCGGGTCCTTCAGGGGCACACCTCGTGGGGGACATGCATCTCCTGCCGCAGCTGCCACCTTGACTTTACTTGGGGATGGGGGCTTGTCCAGCTGCCCACCTGCCTTCACCTGCTTCTGGATCTGCTTGGGCAGCATGGGGTTGCCGGTGGAGCCAGGGAGGGAGGCCTCTGGGGGCAGGCGGATGGATGCGGATGGTTGCAGGGTGGGTCGGGGGCCTGGTTCTGCCTCCAGGATGGCCTTGGCACCATGCAGCCTGGGTGGGGAGTGGCACTGCAGCTCACCACGGGTCTCCTGCCAGCGACGCAGCTGGATGAGGTGCTCGCGCTCGATCTGGCGCTCTGTCACTGGCAACTCAACCACCTGTGGGGGGGGTGACAGGCAGGTGGGCACCAGGAAGAAGTTTTTCTTCTGCCTGGGCCTGTGCTCTCCCTGGGTATCCCACAGACCTTGTCATGAAAGTCTGACCCTAGAAAGGATGGGGCCTAGTCCCTGCAGTGACCTCGAGTCCCAGAGCAGAGTGCCTGTTGGCTGGGCTTGCCAGGCAGGTAGAGAAAGCTGCCTACAGCTCATGAGTCCACTTGCCTAACTCACCCGTTACAGCCCCCAAGACAAACGTCCACAAGGAAAAAGGGGAAATAAAGCCAAGGTCATGGATGTGATCGTGCTGCTTCCCTTAGGAGGATGGGTCTACCTGCAGTTTGTGCTGCTGAACAGCAGGCCTGGCACCAGTGACACCCACAAGAACAACGATTACTGTACCACTTTCCGAAGGGCCCCCAGGAAGCACCCCTCCCTCCCTCCCGGTGATGGGGGAAGGTGTGGACCGCACCTCCTGGACCAGGAAGGCCTCCTGCATGATCTTGGGGCTGAGGCTCCGCAGTCGCTCAATGGTTTCGTACTGGCCCTGGCAGGCTTTGAGCTTCTCAGGGGAGCCCAGTGCATGTTTCAGCAGCACCAGACCCACCCGGAAGATGATCTTGACTCCTGCAGGGGTAGGGGGTGAGGAGGGGGGTGGGGAGTGAGTGCAAGGTGATCTTTAGGACGTTTCTCTGGAAACAGAGGCCCCCTGTGGGCTGGGCTGGGGCAGGGGTGCACCCCTGCTACCAGCCCCGCTACCTTCACAAAAGAACATGTCCCAGACACGCAGCACAGAGCTCCAGGGCAGGGTGCGGGCGAAGGCACACATGAACCACTCTGTCATGTAGAGCAACGGGTCAATCTTCTGCCGGCTCAGGTGCTTGTGGGCCACGGGCGACACCTTCTGCAGCAGTGAGAACAGGATCTCCCCATCCAGCTGGATTGCCTCCTGGGGGCACAGTGAGGCCATGGGGCTGTGACTACAGGCCTACAGCAACCAGGACAGGGATGATGCCCTGACCCCAGTGCCAAGCAGGCATTTCCTCACTGGGCAGGCTATTGCCTGTAGGGTTCCAGCCTTGTGCCAGGGTAGAATGATGAGCAAACCAGACAGCTGGTCCCTGATGTGGAGTATATAGTGACCAGGGCACTGAGACATGAACAGAGTGTAAGGAAGAGGAATGGGGAAAAGTGCCAAGTACCAGGCAGGAACTATGGGCAAGTAAATGCCAGAGGTCGTGCCTGTCAGGTCAAGGAAAGCTCTTTGAGAACTGAAAGCTAAGGGAAAGGAGGAGAGTTACTGGGAGCAAGAGGGCAGAGTTCTAAACCTGTGCCAAGTTGGATGCTAGAAACAAACTGGTTCCAGAAGGAACTGTGATCCCACAGAGAGGGACAGACTGCTGGGGGCTGAGACGGAAGTGAGTGAAGAACCCACAATACTGGAGCCCAGGAAACCTGACCCTGGCGAGCAACAAAAGGCCAGGGATGTTTTAAAACACAGGCGGGGTGGGGTGCACCAAGAGTAGCATGGAGAGAAAGGCATGGCGAGGCCACAGAGGGCATCTACCTGGAGCGAACACTCACCAATTTTTCACTGTAGTAGCCAGGCAGGTACTTCTCACAGATCTGCACCAGGCACCAGAAGGCTTGCTGTAGGCAAATAAAAGATCTGAAGCCTTCTGCTGCATGCTCCCTACCCTCCAGGGTACCCACCCCGGGCTCAGTGGTACCTCAGCAGGCATGTGCATGAGCAGGACGGCGGCAATAGGTGCCTGGGCCTGGCAGTAGCCCTCTTCAGGTCGGTACAGCGTGTAGGCCTTCAGTACACGGAATAGGTCCTGCTGGCTGTAGAGAGGCCAAGTGGGGCACAGATGACAAGTGACTCTGCCACCTACTGCCCTCACCTGTGCCCCACCAGACCAGACCTGTCTGAGACCCTGTGCTTCCCTGCAGAGGGGTATGGCCTGACTGGTCACCAAGGGATCAGTCTCCCACTGGAGGATGCAGACTTTCATATAACCAAAGGGACACTGGGAAGAGCTCCCCCATTTGATAGGTGAAGCTAGTGGCTCAAAGTATGGGGGAGAGCCAGAACAGGATGCCAGATACAGGTAAGGGTGTGTCCGGGACTAGAGCGTGGGCCCCTCAGCAGGCTAACTTTGTTCCTGGCACCAATCTTCATCTCCTGGCCCACTACATCCCTCCCTTCCTGCACAGCCTCTGCCCCACAATTCTTTCGAATCCTCTTTCTCCACACCAAAACATGCTTCTAGAAGAAGCCGTTCAGGCAGACTCTTAACACTCTGGGGAGTAAATGTGAAAGTTGCCCTCCAGGTAAGAGGAGACACTAAGAGGCCCCATTAGCCTCAAACCAAAGACAAGAACTCTTAACATTCAGGTTTGGGACCTCTGAGCTTCTAGGCCCCCGAGATACTCACAAACTCATATTATCTCCTCTGCCCACTAAAGGACAGGGCCTAGAGCCACCTCCAGCCCACAAGGCCCAACCTGCTCACCCATGGCCCCCCCGGGACACAAACATCTCATGGAAAGGGAATTGCCGATGCAGGTCTCGCTCAATCACGTCCAGCCACTTGGGGTCCCCAGGGGACACGTCCAGTTCCTAGAAGTAAGGTTAAGGGTACCTATTAGGAGTTAGGGACTGCTGGGAAAATACAACTGTTCTAGGTATTGGAGGAACCCACACACACGCACTTGGGGCAATGCCCACCCACTCCCATCACAGATGGGGGCCATCTGAGGACAGGAAGCAGAACGGGGTGAAGGAGCAAGAGGGCCAAGGGTCCTGGGAAGCCTAAGGGGTGATACTGTTTAGAAGAAGATCTGTGTGAGCAAGAGTGTTCATGTTAGCTATGTCTAAGCACTTCATTCGGGACTAAGTCCAATGCTTTATGTCACATCCTTAAGAGGAAGGTAGCAACGGCTACCACCTACGAGCTCCAGACTACGCCAGGTGCTAGGCTGAGCACCCAGGGCCTCACTGACTCTCCTCCTAATCCCAAGAGACAGGTCCTCTCATTACACTATTCACCGAAGAGGAAGCTGAAGGTCAAAGGAAAGTTATTTGCTCAGGCCCAATGGCTAAAAAAACAGCTGAGCTGGGCCTGGAAGCCAGGTTGATTCAGAGCCATGAATCCCAACCCCTCTGCCACTTGTGTCCCTATGCAGGTGGTGTCACCTGTTCAGGCGGAGGGGCCTGTGTGATCTGTACATTAGACTATCTGGAAGGCAATGGTATCTACCAGACCATTAATCTCAGAGTGGTCTCTGGGTGTTGGGGTCTCAAGGAAGTGTTACTCTTTCTTTGAACTTCCATGAACTAAAATGAGTGCTGTTTATAAAAGCAAGCTATCTGGCCTCCCTGGTGGCGCAAGGGGTTACTGGCGGCACTACAGTTAATCTCCAGAGTTAATCCCCAGCCAAGGCGGTGACCCACATGGGGCTGCAGACCTCTCCTGACCCGCTTGCTGCTCCCCTCAGCAGTGTACTTCAGTAGATCCCCACTGTGTATGTGGTGCATCCTCTCACCCAACCCCACCTCTGGCCTGTACCCTAGCTCTTTTATGCTTAAATAAGTAAATATTAAAAAAAACAACAAACCTATAATTTCCATTTAAATGTTCTATATCTTGATTTTCATATTGGTTAGTGGATGTATCTTATTTGTCAAAATTAAAGCAAGAATCAATAAGGAAAGGCAAAGGTCTGAACAAGGAAGTGCATCAAGTATACATATCACTGGTAGGGCTAGAGCAGTGTCAGCAGCCCCAGGAGGAAGATGGGTCCTTAGCAAACACTACAGTGGGTACAGGTCCAGGCCCTGCCCCTGATCAGCAGGTGATCTGATACAAGCCCCTTTCCTGTGCTCCCTCTGTGGGCGTATTAAACTGAAGACCCAGGTTACTCGACATGGGAAAGTATGTACTAAGAGGAAAAGCTGACAGAGTCAAGATTGGAGGGTGGGAGGAAGGGGCAGGGCAGGTGTAAAACCAAGGCAGTCAGTGTGTAACCTCCAGAGCCCCACACAAACCTCAGGGTGGGAGCCTGTGTGCCCAAGTCAGGCCCCAGGTTGGACACTCAGCACCCAGCAGGCTTGATTTTTGTTGGGAAGGGGAGGAGTTCCCACAAATTCTCCCCAGGGTGCCCATGAAGTGGAGCCTGAGAGCCCAAAGTCAGTTCCTCGGACATGCTTGCCTGGTGCTATAGCAGCCCAAGCACCTGACCTGGAGAAGGGGCACTGGGAATGAAGAAAGGCAGGTGTGGACGCTGGCAGATGAAGCAGTTATTACAAACTCCATAAGAGGCAGAAAGTGCTGGTTCCATTATAAGGTACAGCTAGAAAAGAAAATCAGGTAAGAAAAGGCCAGAAAGCCCCGCACTGCCCAAGAAAGGAGGAAGAAATCACAAGTACAGGAGAAGAAAGCCATCAGGGCTGCAGAATCTGCCCTGGCAGCTGAAGCTGGCATCAGCCACCTGGGTGTGGGGGGCAGCACAGGGACGAGTAGGTTTGTGCTGCCACCAGCAGCCCTGTCGCTGCACCCTTCCCTTGGGGTTCACGTACCCATAGCAGAGGGAACCTCTTATCCCTGTTCACTTCTGCCAGAGTCCTTGCCAGTATGCCGATAAACCACTGACCGGTGCCCAGGACTGCCTTGGGGACCCATCATTCAGCTCTGGCGCATCCGAGGCCTATTTCAGCAAACCTTCCCCCTCCCACTAGCAACTTTCAAGACGGCTCGGGGCCGGCCAGCGCAGCTCCAGATGAAGCCCTCCGCACACACAATGCACACACGCAGTCACCGGGGTTGGCCGGGAGGCCGCAAAGCTGCCCACGTCTTGGCGCTCACGCCTGTGATGGGGTAGCTAGAGGTGAGGTATGGACTTGGTGTCAGGTCCCCACCCCTGAACCTCTCTTCTGCCCAGGATGCTGCCCCCTAACTGAACAAGATATAGCCACTGGAAGGAAAACTCGAGTGGAAGAGACACTTGAGTGGGGCCTGCTCGTGGCACTCTTCGGAATAGCCCAATTGCTCCACTTAGACCTGCCCACCACCAGACACTCCTCCAGCACCCTGTCCCCAGGCCTTGGGGCCAAGTGCTGCCAGAGACCACTTTCATCCTTTCCAGGCCAAACTCTAGGTTTCCCTGCTCTGCTCACCCTTTTCAGGGAATGGATTTGGCAGGACTAGCATATTCACTGAAGCATAAAGTATGTCAGCAAAAAGCTGGTGGCTGGCTGGTCTGTCTGTTGCAAGGGCCTGGGAGAAAGCCTTGATGCCTGGGGCCAGGTAAGGTCTGGCAGGTAAGCCAAGGCAACCCCAGGGACGACAATGGCCTCCCACAGTTCCTAAGGCAGTAGACTGCAGGAGCTGCCCTGCAGGGGAAGCCCAAACAATCCCAAGAATGAGAGATTTTCTTACTCTCAGAGCTTTAGGGCAGGAAGACAGGGATGGAGATGTGTAGGAGAAGGTATGACTAGAGAGAGCACCCTCAGAGACTGACTTGCTTCTGACTTTAGGGTATTAGTTTCCTATGCCACGCCTGGGGCTGACAACCCCATAATCAACGTGGGTGAATTGTGTCTATCCAATTGGTTGGATTGGTTGGATAAAGCAGATGAAAGAATAGAGGATGAGAGGCCAGGAAGTGTCAGGGTCCTCTGGTCCTGCTAGCAGACCCCCAAAGGTCAGAACACAGGGCCCCCAGCAGTTAGGGAAAAGATCTGAGTGCTCCCTCCTGGGAAGTAGCCTGCTGCGCCCAAGAGCAAATGAGTGGTTGTCAAGAAAAAGGGTGGAGGGCCTCCCTGGTGGCCTAGGGGTTAAGTCCCAGCACTATCACTGCCACAGCACCTGAGTTTGATCCCCGCCGCCGGGAGCTGGCCCACACAGAATGCAGCAGACCTCTCCTGTTTTGCCCACTGCTCCCCTCGGCAGTGTATTTCAGAAAGTACACCTGTTCTGCTCCCCATTCTGTCTCTGGTGAATCCTCTCACCACCACCCCCCAAACCTCTGGCCTACACCTCAGTTCTTCTACACAAAAATAAATTTTTTTATAAAGGAGAATGAACTGGATGGGCAGCTCCATGAGCACACGGAGGATACCAAGAGACAGGACAGAAGAGAGGAAATAAGGTCAACTCACATCAAATTTTCCAGAGTTCTGCTGCAGCTTCACTTTGCTTCCTGACAGATACTGCCAAGCCCGGCCCCGAAGAGAAGGTGGAATGCCCTTCTGGCACCGCAGCCGGATCTGAAAGTCAAAAGGAGGGTTGTTCCCGTGTATTTGCCACGCAGCTTGCCCAGGGCCTTGTGCCAGCTGTGCCCCCTGAGAGCACCTAGAGGGCCGTCCGTGAGTACGACAGCAAGAAATGAGGACATTCCCAATAGTGCGACACAGTGTGTGTGTGTGTGTGTGTGTGTGTGTGAGAAAGAGAGAGAGAGAGACACGGGGTGTGTGTGTGTCTGCAGTTAGATACCTGGGTGACAGCAGGATCCCCACATTCCCTGATCCAGAGACACAGGTATTACTGAGGTCTACCACAGGACTCTAAATCCCTATGAGGATTTTCTAAATCAAAATGGGGCCAATCAAGTCAGAGGAGACCCACAGAGTGTCCTGGGCACTTTCATGGAAGTTTTTGTTTAAGTCTGTGGGGAGAAGGAATCTCAGTGTAACTCAGAAGAGAGCTGGGCGGGTGGCTGTGCCTTTATCAAGATTCCCCTCGCACGCTCCCTGACCCTGAGCTCCCGTGGCTACCAGCCCTTGCTAAAATGGTACATGTCTTTCCACATTCAGAAGAGTGAGGAAGGAAGTGTATGAGGGTAACTTACGACCCCGAGCTAGTGTCTAACTAATATGCTAGGTCCCACTGACAAATGCCAATTTGAAAAACCATCAGATCTTTTACAATAGGGAAACTAACTAGGGAAAAGGATAAAGATCACAACACCAGGGGCCCATTACCTAGCACTACACCACGTGCCTGTTCCATTCAGCTGCCTGGCTTCGGGTGGAATGAGGGTCTGAGGCAGCACCGTTATGTCCTCCTTGACCTCAAGGCCAAGGGTGAAGGAAAATGAGGGCAAGGGCAGAGTCATTGTTCCTGTAGAGTGATGGCTTTCTCTCCTCTGAAAAAGCCTGACAAACCCCCAAGGCTCATACCTAACTTCCCCTGACCTGGAAACCCCCTCAGATAGTACTGTCGGAAGCGCTCAAAGAAGGGAGCAAGAAGGCATAGCCTTCCTGATGACCGGTGCAAATACAGAAAACTTTCCAAGGGTCAGAGAGTCAAGAGCCAGGAAAAAGACAGGCAGACAGGCTGAGGGCAGCAGGCAAAGGGCAGAATGACTGGTCATAGGAGCCAAACTCGAGTTTCTGGGACTGCCTGCAAAGCGGAGAGAGGAAGGGAGTGGAAGGGAGCTGCCCCAGATTCTGGGAACAGTTTCCTGCTGCTGTGGGACAAGGGTGCCCTAAAGGAAGCTTGGTCTGGGTAGGGTTTGGCAGAGAGGCAGTATGGCCCAGAGCCACAGGTTCTTTCATACTCCCCAGGGCTGAGATCAGCCTGAGCAAGCCCCCACAACACAGCTGCCCCAGGGGAGGCCAGGCACACCTTCAGCACCCCTTCACTCAGGGTGGGGAGGTGGGAATGGAGAGGCAGGAGTATAGTCAGCTTTTCCCACTCTGGCCCGTGGAGTTCTCAGCACAGAGGTACTGGAGAGCAGTTTCCACATACCTAGCTTTGTGAGGGGGTGATGGTGGGAGTCGGTAAGGATAAAGTGAGAGAAAGTGCTTCATGAGTGGAAAGCTGGAGGGGTTAGCATTCTCTGTTGCAACATCTTGACTGAGGTCACACCTTCCCTACTGAACTCCAGAAGGGCAGGTAACAGTTTGAACAGAGCCATTCAGGAGAAGACTGCATTCCAGCCACAGCTCCACCTCCCTTCAGGGCCTGGCCCCTCCTGAGGACTTGGGTTGAATCCTGGAGAAGTACTGGGTCTGAACCCACACTTCCTGCAGCAGGTATTGTTTTTCCTGTGCCACACAGAGAGCTCAAGCCTGCAGAGCCAGGCAGGAAGCGATCCCAAGGCCAGGGTGGCCACAGCTGAGGAATGCATCAGAGGGTTATGGCCTCTGGGGGTGGGGGGGGTGTAAAGCACTCCTGTGGTGGCTCCTGCTGGGCAGGGGTGCCCTTGGCCTCTAACCACAGTGCAAGGAAGCCAAGGGGAAGAGGAAGTTGTGCTGACTGTCCTAACAGGACCTCCCCTAGGTTCCCTCTGAAATCCACATTTGCCAGGGAGGTTGGGGAAATTGTTAGAGCCAGTATCTGCCAACCACTAGTCACGATAGGGAGCTGAAACTCAGAGGCTGAGGGATAAAGAAGCAGGAAGACGATCCTAGGGTTAGGCAGGAAGCAGTTCAGCTGCCTTAAAAGAAGTTTTTTTAGAGAAGGATTTTCTATTAAGCAAAAATATTAGTGCTCCAAAGCCCACACAGAACAGTAAGGAGCCCAGGCTGGGTCGCATGGGCTTTAGAGTCACCACTTTGTGGGACCCTCCCAACCAGTTGTCATTCCCACTGAAACTGGTCCAGTCATACAGCTGGCCACAGGCATACCTCAGCTTCTGTCTTGAGTGTGCCAGGCTCCACTGCTAGCTGTGCCAGTCGGGACCAAACCAGTGTGTCAGCTGACAACACAGGTAAGCAGGTTCACTCTGTGCAGAGACCCCAATTATGATGAGGCCCTGGACAGGCCTTCTCCAGGCCAGGGCATAACTAGACCCAGCCATGGTAGCTGACAGCAATAACACACATAGGTAAGTGTGATGGGCAAGGACATTCCTACATCAGTGCCTAAGGACAGCTTTGGTTAGAAAAGGACTCCTGGCTGATTTCATTTTTATGATACCATACACTGTGAGGTTACTTTTCTTTTACTTTGACCAGGAGCTAAGAGGGAACTCATCAAATTAATCTAGATGGTAAAAAGGCCTTTCTGAAGTAGAGTACAGGAACTAAAGTGAGACCATCTAGGTTCAAATCTATGGGTACTACTACTACTACCAACCTTATCAGAGTATGTAAGAATTATTCAAGTCACACACATTAGCTATTCCTAGCGTTACAGAGTCCTCCCTGTTAGATGGCAAGGAACAACACGGACTCTCCTGGCAGGGCTGCAGGGAAGCTGCCTATACAGGCTTTGGCTAAGTGTGGCTTTAAAGCTGGGCTCCAGGACCAAGTTTGCATGAGTCTGGGATGACCAAGCTATGCCTGGGTTCTGCTCTGCAGCCAGCTGGCAGTTTGTAAAGCCCCTACTCTTGCAAATGGATGCAGTTCTTTCCTCCTCCTCCTCTTCCCCAGCTTGCTGCTCTCGGCCCAAGGCCCAAAGTCAGCCACTCACCTTTTTGTGCTTCTTGGCCATCCATTTGTCCCAGTTGTTGAGCATGTCCAGCCACTTGGACTCCCTCTGTCTCAGCACCTCCAAGGGGACTTCCTCCAGCCTGTGAAACAGGGCAGATTCCATCAGAGGTGCCAAAAGAAGAAAAGGCCTCTATTCTTCCCCGCCCTCCATCCTGTAGCCTCTTTTGAGGTTGTTATTTCATGAGCGTCCAAAAAGGTTGTGAGGGAATGCTGCCCGGTCCCTAGACGGCACAGGCCAAAGAGACACTAGGTTCAAGTGCTCGCCCCCAATGTGTCGAGGAGCCAGCAGTTATTGTACTTCTCTGGGTAGAGGCCCAAACCCTTTGCCTGTACATCAAAGCAAAGCATTCTTGATCCTGGCTCCGCCCCAATAAATAAGCCTCTTTAGAAGGCCTGTATGGAGGTGCAGAGTTGGACAGAAAGAACTCATCAAACAAGTATGGGAAGGTTCATGCCTCCATTCCAGCAAAACTGGTTACTCAGTTTCTCCTCTTACGCCCTGGCCCTTCCCCACTTCTCAGTCTTCACTCATGATAGTCCCTCTGCTGGAATGCTCTCCAGGTTGTCTCTGCACCACCATTTGTAATTCTATCTCTACTAACTGAGTAGCTGTCATAGCTCTGTGCAGGCCTTTGTAGGGCAGACTATGGGGAAATACTCCTATGACTAGCACAAAGTCCTGGCCCACTCAGTATTGACATTCTCTGGGCACTGAATGCCATCTAGAGCCAGTGGGGAGAACCACCACAGGCAGGCAAAACAAAATGCTTCAAGTGAGTGGATTTGCTCTGACTGAGCCCCTGGGGAATTAACGAGTCCGCAAAACACTGAGGGGCAAAGAGGAGGAGACTAACATTTGTAAGCTGGGTGTTCTAGATATGCTTTCTTATCTAGCCAACAGAGCAATATTAGTAAAAGGGCAGAAAGATGTATATATTGTACTATATGTGCTTTCTTGTTTAGCCATTAGAGCAAGATTAGTTTTTTAAAAAGGAAAGAAAAATGTATGTGAGCACCTTTCTCTACACACACTCTTAAATTACTTTTAAATTGATGGATTACAGATCTTTTTTTTCTAAAGATTTATTTATGCACACAGAATTGGGGTACAGGCCAGAGGTACAGGGACAGCAAGAGGCTCTACCAGAGACAGAATGGGGAGCAGAACAGGCAGACTGACAAAGCACACTGCTGAGGGGAGCAGCGGGTGAGTCAGGAGAGGTCTGACTCAGAAAAGGTGCCATGTGGATCACCTCCAGGGACTGGGGATCGAACTCGCACTGAAGTGGTTGCAGCCAGCTTGCAGTACTGTGTCCCAACCCACTGCACCACCAGGGAGGACCCAGGTTACAGATCTTTTAAATTTCTTGTTTCTGTCTTCACTTTCCCCCCCTCAACTTATAAAATTACTTGACAGTCCTTAAAGGTAATGTTTAGGGAACAATTCTTCCTCAGTCAGTCAAATCAGTGGAAAAACCCAAATGCAACCCCAAAACAAGAGCTTTGCCAAGAACCTACGCTCAGTCCTGCCTGACCTCCCAGAAAGGAGCACAGGGTTTAAGGCACTCAAGAGACTTGACAGGAGGCTCTCAGGACATGGTGGGGCTGGGGCTTGGCCCAGGCCTGTCAGATTTTCTCTCAGCAGGAAGGAAATGTGCTGCTGTGACTTTTACTGGTTAGAAGATCAGAGGGAGGGGCCCTAGCTGAGTGGAGGCCAACATTTTATCTGGGGAACTCCACAGGCCCAAAAGCAGCCTTGGTAATGAACACGTAACAGCAAACAGCAAATCTGGCCCCTCAACCCACTGACACTTTATAACCCTCTCAAAATGCTGACCCTCTCACCACTAGAGGCAGAACTAGGCATGAGGACACTCCCTTCCTCCCCCTCCCATGGGAGAAAAGCAGAGACCACACCTTTAAGTCAGGTAATTTACAAACATGCTGTGTCTCCAAGCAACCCCCAAACACCCAGGGAGCGGAAACCAAAGGGCATGCATCACAGGCCATGATGCTTCTATCACCTAAAAAGCACTGGCTTATATAACAAGTCAGGGGATGAACCTTCTAGATAGCTAAAGTGCTGCCCACATGGATCAACAGGAAGTTCTGGCAGTTATGGATGTGGATATTATCTGATCTAATGCCCCACTAAGCAGATGAGAAAACTGAGGCTAACAGAAGGCAAAGCTTTCACTTCCAAATGATTAAAAAAAAAAACAACAGAATTTCTATGTGATTAAAAACATGCCCACCTAGGCCCTCCCTGGTGGCGCAGCGGGTTAAAGCACAGCACTGAGAAGCTAAAGCCACTTCCGCATGAGTTCAATCCCTGCCTGCCCCGGAGGTGACCACATGGCGAGGCAGACCTCTTCTGACCCACCCGCTGCTCCCCTCAGCAGTGTACTTCGTCCATCTGCCTGTACTGCTCCCCACCTTGTCTCTGGTGAAGCCTCTCGCCACCCCTGAACCTCTGGCCTGTATCCCAGTTCTGTATGCACAAATAAATAAAACTTTTTTAAAAAAAAAAAACATGCCCACCTGACACCTCAACTTTCTGGTCTGTGTGTTCTAAGATCTGACTGCAGAGTATCAGAGATACACATTCTCCTACCTGCATATACAAAAGTTCAAATTCTTTTAAATGATGCCAGATAACAGCTTTGGCAGCTTCAAAGCCCCAACATCAAACCTCAAACCAGAATTTCAATTAAATACAAAACAGACACCCATATTTCCTGGATTCAAAGATACTACTGATTTCAAGAAACACCATTAATTTGACAAGTCTTCTTAGAAACAAAGAAAGAAAATACCACTGCTTTAATTGTACATATCAATTGAAAGATCCATTTTAATTTGAAAATCTTTTAAAGACTTATTTATGCATACAAGAACTTGGGTGTAGGCCATAGGTGCAGGGGGTAAGGGGATTCACCAGAGACAGAGTGGGGAGCAAAACAGGCAGAGTGACTGAAATACATTGCTGAGGGGAGCAGCAGGTGAGACAGGAGAGGTCTGCTGCGCTATATGGGTCAGCTCTCTGGCTGGGAATTAAACTCATGCTGCAGTGATTGCAGAAAGGTTCACAGTGCTGGGTTTCAACCCCTTGCACCATCAATGAGGGCCTAATTTGAAAATCTTAATCTAGGAACATTTTAAGAAAATATAGTTGCTTGAGTGGCTTTTCCTGCAGCAGAAGTATTTAACTAACCTGGAGATTGTGAATAGAAACATGCTGTAAGTCTGCACTCAGGAAATCATGCGCTCTCTAACTGGGCAGACTAGTTTTTATGCACAGGGTGTTAATCCTGAAAAGTTGCAGACAGTCCACTTTTAAAAATCAAAGTGTTGGGCCCTCCCTGATGGCTCAGTGGGTTAAATCACAGCACCAAGAAGCTATCCACAGCCACTGCAGCACGAGTTTGATCCCCAGCCTGGGAGATGACCCACATGGTGTAGCAGACCTCTTCTGATCCACCCGCTGTTCCCCTCAGCGGTTTGTTTCAGTAGATCTGCCTGTTCTGCTCCTCACTCTGTCTCTGGTGAATCCTCTCACCCTTCCGCACCTCTGGCCTATCTATACCCTAGATCTTGTATGCATAAGTAAGTAAATTTTTAAAAGAAAATTGAAATGTTAACTTATCCTATAGTCTAGTCAGTAAGGATTTTGGAAGGCAGCTGATCAGACTGCTGTTTAATAAAGAATCCCTTCTAAAACTGCAAGTCTCTCTCTCTCTGAGCTTCCCTATGTGATTGGATGGCCTGAAGTGTGAATGCCTCTCAAAGGATTACCAAAAAGGAGCCTTGAAATTAATTTGGAGTCAGAGGCATTCCTGCAAACAGGTGAAGAGGCCCAGAGGTAGCTATTTCCCGACAGTGAGGAAGTACATGAGCCAGAGTCCAATAACAGAGAAGCTAACCAAATGGATGAACGAAATGGCATATGGGGAATGTTTTGGTCTGCGGGCTTTACTCACCCTCTGGAAAGCCCCTTTCTCTAAGGTGGCCTAATGTTGAAGAGTCGCTAGCAGGCCAATCTTTGTGGGAACTCCTCCAAGAATGGGGCCTCATTATCTCCCAGTGCAGTTTCTGTATTGTTAAACTTTGTCCCCATTAATGCCAAAACCTTCCTTTTACCTGTAATCTTTAATAACCCTTTTAAGATTTCTCAGCCAGACCAGTCTCAGGCCAGGCACACACATGCTTATCCCTTGACACCCACCATCTCTATCCGAATACTTTTCTTCTCTCCAGATCACAGCAACCCTTACAGGGCACAATGTAACAATAAAGGCCACAAGATCAATGATAACAGCAGTAAATGCAGTTACCATTTGTACATTATTTGCTACTTACCAATTGCTTCCTAAATGATTTATATTAATCTCATGTGCATGTCATAATTGGTCATAATTTCCCTACGATAATATCATTCTATTTTCCAGAAGTAGAATCCAAGACTTAGTAAGATTACTATATAGTTCCAAGGCATGTAGCTGTAAGTAACAGAACTGGGGTTCAAATCCTAATTTTCCTGCCCCGAGAGCCTGTTCCTGTCGCTTTCCCTATACTCCCTGCCCCTACAGGTTAAGCCCTCAGCCATTGGCTTCCACACCTGCACAGGTCTCATTAATTGTCCTCTGACCTGAAGATTTGCATGTTGACTTAAAACACCATTTCTCATAGTTTGCTGAGACCAACAGTAAGAAATACATTTTATACTGATTATATATACAAATACCAACATATATAATTAAAATATATGTAATATATTAACATAAATATATGAAACATAGTTCAATATGTGGGAATGTAGATTATGAAACTACTTACTCTTACATTGTACTGATGTATTCTTAAATGTACCCTGATGTTTTGGGTTCAATTTTATGTTATTCTACCCAACATTGATTTCAGGCTCAATTAATGAGTTAAGATATGAAGTCTTGAAACAAGTATTTCATTTATTGACTCATTCTTGGCTCATATTGCTTAGCCATATCCCTGCCTAACTGGACTAGATCTGTTAAGTCCCACCATGTACCTCACAGGTGTTCAACAAATCCCCCCCGCCTGC